GTTACGGCTAATGTGCAAACTTGGATAGTTTATAAACTAGCTGGATAGTTTATAAACTAGCCAAACTGTCAGCTATTTTAATTGAAAACATATTTTCAACTAAATTAGCGGCTAGTTTACAAAATAACCAAGGATCTTGGCTAATTTACTTGAAATTATTAAGGAAACTAAAATAGCTGGATAGTTTGTATACTATCCAATTCAGTTTGGCTAATATGAAAACCAAAATTTCTAGTAACACAAAATAGCCAAGCTTTAGCTAGTTTGTAAACTAACCAACCAATTCTCTGGCTAATTTCGTATAACGTCACAATTTTGACTTTTGCGGGATTTTATGGGATTTTTATAGGGTTGTGTTGTTGAGTTTTCTAACAAGGAAGCGTTAAAATTTTGCCTATGATTCATTTTAAAAACGTTAAAATGCACAAAACAAATCCGGTTAAGCCGGCAAAACGAAAAAAAATGCCGTAACCTCACTTTTTTAATAAATTAGCTAGAGAATTGGTTGGTTAGTTTACAAACTAGCTAAAGCTTGGCTATTTTGTGTTCTTAGAAATTTTGGTTTTCATATTAGCCAAATTGAATTGGATAGTATACAAACTATCCAGCTATTTTAGTTTCCCTAATAATTTCAAGTAAATTAGCCAAGATCCTTGGTTATTTTGTAAACTAGCCGCTAATTTAGTTGAAAATACATTTTCAATTAAAATAGCTGACAGTTTGGCTAGTTTATAAACTATCCAAGTTTGCACATTAGCCATAACATAAATAAATCTATAATATCGATATTAATATCTATTAATTAATTACAAATTACACTTATAATTATAATAAAATATATTTTCATTTAATATTTATTATTAAAATAAATTATAATTGCGCATATGTGCATATAACACCCTCCTTTTGCTCATGTCAAAAAATGAAAAAATTGTCAATCACAATCTGTATTTTGAATGTTTTAACTCGTTCGCTGCCACTGACTCCGCTCGGAGCCGGTCGGCTATCGCACCGTGTGCCATCGACTCCGTACGAAGTCGCCCACCTAAACAAGTAGTTGGCCCCTAACTTAGGGGCCCTAAGGCACTATCTCATAGATGGCAGCGAACGTATTAAAATACACAAATTAATTATTATTATATGTATTAATTATTATTAAATTAGAACTATGGTTATATTATATAATATTAGAATTAGGTTAGAATTATAATGTATAACCTATAATTATGACCTTTTAAACCATGTTTTTGTGTATTTTAAGATGTTAAATAAATATTTTGACAGAATTAATTATTTTAAAAAATTAAATCCATTTTCTAAAAGCAAAAAATAAAAAGTTCATGCATTATGGCAAATTGAGCATCAATTAAGGACTCATCTGTCGCGTTATATGAATTTACGCGTGAATTTATATTGAAAATGCATTTTGCTATCTGGGTTACCAGATTTATTAGATCAGATTGATGCGGTAGTCATTGCACCTGCATGAGCTTGGGTGTTCTCTTGCAACTGCAAGTATTTAGTGTTGAATGTTGGTAATAAAATAAAATAAAATAAATCTTGAAAAAATCCTAATATTTATTTTGGCCAGGTACTGAGTACTTTTACTCGTATTTCAATTACGAGTAAAAAAGTACTAGTATTTTTCATTTGAAATACTTATTACTCATACTCACAAACCAAATTCAATGTACTCGTAAAAAATACTCGTAGAATTCACGAGTAATAAATATGAGTATTTTCCTTTATTATATGGATGACTTTTTGCCAAAATATCGTAAGCATCAAAACATTTTGTTTGAAAGTCTGTTTTAAATTATATAATATATAGTATAATATAATATATTATAGGTTTTATAACAAGTAAATAGGTAAAATTATAAACTATTTAAGCATTGTTATTATTTTATGTACATAATGTTTAAATAATTTTTTTTATAAATTTGTATTTGTATTTTTATAACTCAGGGCCAAAGTATGTATAATGTACACTCTCTAAAAATGAATTAGTCAAAAATGACTAATTATCACAGTTATTGGTGGAAATTAGTAAAAATACCGTAAAAAATTATGAGTAGGCATGAGTGGAGCAGTTTTTGAGATATAGTCAATTCCATATTATATGGAAAATGGACTATATCTCAAAAACTGTTTACTTTTCTAACTTTTGACGACATTTTCGGATTCAGGGAACAATGTTACATGGAAATTTACTGCTAAATTTTAAAAATACAAATTGCTATTGACGAGAATTGTGGCTGCTTTTTCGCTATGACAATTAGTCATTTTTGACTAGTAAAGAATAATTATTCTTCTGATTATAATCAATTATATTAACTAACTTTTTTTCAAAAGTACTCGTACTCTTTACTCCTGTTTTCACGATTACTACTCGTAACCGTAACCTCTCCTTACAAATGTACCCTGCTTAAAATACCCCATAGAGACCTATATAAAATAATCTATCGGGCGCTACCGGATTCAATATGTGCATTTGTCCATGTTTTTTTCCGGATAGGGCCCAATAGAAAATGTAAATTGGTAATAGTAATAGTAATAGTAGTTTATTGATCATTAACGAAAGTTACATGACATGTCAACATATATAAAATTTTAAATAAGATTACAAAATGGAACACCATAACTTTTACATTTTCCCTATTGAGACCGATAGCAAATAACTCAATGAAGGATATATAGGGATATCCCTATAGAACAACCATAAAACATTTGACAAAATTTTATTAAAACCTATGGGTTTCTATGGGGGAAACTAATTTCTACATTTATGTGTATTTTCCCCATTGAAACCAATAGCAAATAAATTAAGGGTGGATATCCCTATAGAACAACCATAAATCCCAACTATGGGTCCTATACATACCGATACACCCTATAGAAACACCATACATTCCGATACAAATATCTATCGGTTTGAACAGGGTCTCTATGGGGTATTTAAGCAGGGTACCTACTTATGAGTAATTTACTTACGAATAAATATTTTACGTACTTTAAAATTTACTAATACTTTTTTTAGTACTCGTGCCCAGCTCTGCTTCTATGTGTATACATTAGGGTGTGCCAAAAAAACTCGATATTTTTTTTTTCTTGCTCTCCACCCAAAATATCGTAGAATATGCCCGAACAAATATTCTGTTAAAAGCGGAGCTCATAATTTCAATGTTCAGAGGTCCCTCATCGAATCTGAAGTTTTGCCGCTTAAATAACACAGAAAACTGACTTTTTTACCTTATTTATTCTTGCAACCTAGGAAGATTTTTTTTTTTCACAAAATCCATGACTAATTCTTACAAAGCATTAAATTTGGACAAAAAAATCTTATTAAGCCGAATTTCTATTTTCATTATTTAATTTTTTACATAGCTTTAAATTTAAAGTAAATAATACAAAAATGATGACATTATACGCCTGTAACTTTTAGAATATTGTCGATATAAAAAATTCGCCTAAAACTTTTTTGTGGTCCATCAGACAAGCTAAAAAATTGCCATTTGACTTTTTCGTCTAACTTCAATAGTTTAGCTGAAAAAGGCAAAAAACGTAAAATTTTAAATTTAAAGCTCTGTAAAAAATTAAATAAAGAAAATAGAAATTCGGCTTAATAAGATTTTTTTGTCCAAATTTAATGCTTTGTAAGAATTGGTCATGGATTTTATGAAAAAAAAATTTCTTCCTAGGTTGCAAGAATAAATAAGGTAAAAAGGTCAGTTTTCTGTGCTATTTAAGCGGCAAAACTTCAGATTCGATGAGGGACCTCTTAAAATTGAAATTATGAGCTCCGCTTTTAACAAAATATTTGTTCGGACATATTCTACGATATTTTTGGTGGAGAGCAAGAAAAAAACTATTTCGAGTTTTTTTGGCACACCCTAGTATACATATACAGTATACTTCTATTTTTTATTTAAAGAGCTACAAGGTCGGTTAAATTAGAGAAAAGTTGGGTAATTACAAGCTTATTAGCATGACATTTATAAATTTAAAAAAAGTCAGCTGTTCTTAAAATATAAAAAAAAAAACTTTAAAATCCAAAAATCGATATAACTTTGTTATTCCTGGGAATTTTGAAAGTTTTACATGTAAACAAAGTCATTAATCTACATTTTTGTCAAATTTCTTTGCTACTATGTTTTGAGTTACCATCACCATCTTTTGTTTTTATAATTGCCGCCATAAATTATGTAGTTTGATACATTCAAATATAGCAGTAAAAGGAAAAACAAATTAGATGAAAATGTAGATAAATGTAAAACTTACTTTATTTTAAAGTTCCCAGAAATACAAAATATTTACATTTTTTTTCTGATGAGTACTTTTTAAGTTATAAAGCATTTAAGTTTAAAAAACTTGTCAACGTTGTGCTCTTACCGGATATCACACATCTAAAATTATAATAACTTTGTTGTTATTAACGAATTTTAACTCTTTACTTTTTTAGATAAATAGTTTTGTTATAATTATTAAATTAAATATAAAACATAAAATGTAATGTAACCCTTATAACTATTCGTAGAAAAAAAATTATTTTTTTTGTTTAAAATACATACCGTGCCTTTTTGGGAGCACCCTGTATTTTCATTTGAGATAATTTGTAATTTTTATGTTACATGAAATTATTAATAAAAATTATTATTTTTTAATTAAGGCATTAAAATGTATTGCATACAATGCATACAACAAATGCTTAAATTTCATTGTATGTATTTTTGTTTAAACATGTTGCAATACATATTTTAAATGTGGATTGCAATACCGTTTAATGTACTTAAACAAATTTTATAAAATCATATAATACATTAAATTTAATGATAATTTGCAAAATATACGCATTTTTATTTAAAATATTAAATATCAACGGTCATTAATTATGAATCAATAACACCTTCAAATTTAAGTTTTGCCCAACTGTGCAATAATACCTTAGAAAACCGTTTAACCTATCAAGTAAATCAATAGTGAAAGAATTGCTAGTGCGCTCACCGTTCTTGGTGTTGAATTTCCTTGATCATAATATCGGCGAGGGGATCGTTGTAGGTCCTTTCTCCCAGCAAACGTTGCTGGTCCAAATCGCCTTGCATTTGACTGAATGCATGTTCGCCCACGTTTACCGACGTATCGAGCTGCGATGATAAATCTATGGATTCCTCGTCCGCTGTAAAAAAGACACGTTAAAATCAATATTACGACCATTATTAACTAGCAATCGATGTAGACTAAATAATTCAGACTTACAAGAATATTCGTACGATTCATTAATCATGTTCGTCGTTTTACATTTAATTTGAGGCGATGTTTTATGTGGAATAGGCGAGATGTGTTATCTTGTCTTAATCCGCAAGCAAAATATAAGATTGTGTTTGTTTGCATTTTTCTTTGTTATTCCTGTTGCTGTATTTTTATTACTGTTTTGTTAAAATATCATTATATTGTTGTTTTTATTACATTTTTGTAGTAAACCACGAGTTTAATATAAAGAGTGAAAACCCATTTTACTAACATTAAAGCAAAAAAGTGCATCAACAATATTTTTAATTTTATTTAGAGCTAAAACACATTTTTGAGTAATTTTTTTGTACAATTGTGTCGTGTAGAATCAACTCAATCAACTTGGTCAGTTCAAAAACCAAAGATAATTTTCATATAGGTCAGTTTTAACGTAATGGTCAATTCTACAACCAAATATAATCCTGTGCTCCGTACTATGTAAAAAGACACTATAAAATAATTAAATATATATTATATATCTTTCTGAACAATTACGAATCATAATAACATATTATTTATCACTTACCGATTTCTTTGTTTAAATAATAAATATTAAAAATTTTTTAGATGATAAAATGATTTTTGTTAAAAATGCAAATACAAGGTGGTTTTGTACTTTTAGTTTTATTTCGCCAGATATGTGCCTTGTCCGCCTTTGTACACAACTAAATTTACTTGTAACTTCAAATAAAATCACAGATCTGATTACAAAATTAGACAGGCATTTTACATTTCCATGTAAAAGTTTAAAATTCCCTTATTTTGGCTTGTTAAAGAGTTAATTGTATACTAATAATCTTATTAAAGATAAACACTTCAGCAGTAATGAAAAAACAATAACTTTATTGCTAGATACTTTTACGTCAGTGTGAATTTTTTTCATAATACTATAGAATTATAGGTATTTAGGCAATATATTTAAATGTTATACTGTAACTGTACTGTAAAGGCAAGAAAGATTTTATGTAATGAGTATGAGTATAAGGAACGTATAGCTGGCCTCATCAGCGTTATCATACACTGGTCTCCCAGAGTTATTTCCCCCCCTTTCGGTTCTCCTACGTATCCCGCAACTGCACAGCATTGCCTGTGCTTGATGGATACGAAGTTTAACCCCGGCTGGTAAATCTATCTTGGAAGATCGTGGACGACAAGGTCGATGGTTAAGACTCCCGAAATTTCGTCACCGGGCCGGGCTATACGCCCGATTAGGCTAGTGGAGTTTGGGTCATTGAGGGAAAACATTTTGGTTTGCAGAGGATGAACTAGTACAAGTACAATCCGGAATCCCCCTCAACCAGAGATTTAGAAATTTAATTGGGGTTCATAAATGGGGCTTGGTTGGTTAATACGCTGTAGGGCATATTTTGTTTTTTGAGGTAGTCTTTGTTTTTTTACGTCCGTGACTGCTAAAAATTACTATGCTAAAAATTCGAAAACCGCTGTACACGATTAGTTTGCTCCACTTTGCAAAACCGTTACTAGACTTCAGTACCGAAGTGTTACCTTCCACGGTGGGTTGTTCGTGTTGCCGCTCTGACTTTGCACACAGGTTATTTTACCCCACTGTGCGTTTGTCTATGAGATTACGTTCTTGATGGGGGAGGTACTTAAAAGTACCTAATCATCAAGAACGTAATCTCATAGACATTAAAATTTATGGCCTTTGTAAACAAGGTTTGTAGGCACCGAGTGCTTATTTATTGGTTTAAAGTAGAGGTGATAAACTATCGATGTAACCCACTATCGAACTATCGATAGTATGGAAATAAAAAATATCGATATATCAATAGCACTATCGATAGTCACTTAATTTTATATTTTTAAAATTTTGGTTTTTGCTTTTGCACTAAAATAAAATTAACATAAATGTTTGAAACACGTTTTACTAATTTAAAAATATCTACTTGCAATGCAAGTCTTGCACATATTCCATACATAATATACAGGGTGTATCACGGTCGATGGTAGGTAAGACGTTTATGAAGAACGGCAAAAGATATCGATTTGAAATTTTTATAGCAATTATAATATCATTTAAACTATTTTTATAAATTATTTTGAACAAAATTCCTCTTCCGGTTTTAACAGAAGCGATATCAACTTTGTTATTTTAAATGGATCACCACATTTTTTTTACAATTTTAAATTCTTACCATCATTCCATTTAAATTGGCTATATCATGTCCTATACCTAAACTTAATAGTTTTGTAATATTTGGTCAGTTTTACCAGCAACAAAAAAAGCTTTTTTAATATTAGTTTTGCCGATATTAGGTTGGATTTATTGAAATCCTAAAGCACTGTTTTAAAGATTATATGTAAATTATTGTAATATTTCTAAAAAGATCCTTAAATAAAAACAATGTGAATGTAGCTAACTTAAAACAGCAATAACTTTTTTATTCTCAATGAAACGCCTTGTATATTTTCACATAATTAAATATGAATACCTTTTCTTTGATATAACTATTCCCTATACCTAAAGTTAATATTAAGAAAGATATTTTACAATTATCCTAATTATTATTAAATAACAACAAGTTTACAAATTCCGGCCAACATTTGGACCCGAGCAGATTACAACGATTTTTGACGTTATTTGATGCGCTGAATTCGAATCTTAAATCCGTTTGGCAACATTGGTTCTAGTTTTTCAGTTCTCGCAGGTGAAGGGCAGGATTTTCAGTACTTAATCAATCAAAACCATACAAAATGTTTAACGCCCGATGAAGCGGCAGCATGGACCTCTTTTTGAAGTGTTGTTCACAACTTTCTTGGTAACCGCAAATCCCCGGATTTCAAGCAAATCATCGGCAATTTGTTGCAAAATTACCGCAAGATTAGATCTCGAATGTCTCTCAAGATGCATTTCCTCTATTCCCACCTCGATTTTTTCCCTGAAAACTTGGGCGATACGAGCGACGAACAGGAAGAGCGGCTACACCAAGATCTCACAAACATTGAAAGGAGATACCAAGAATTTTGGGATGAACGCATGATGAGCGAGTACTGTTGGACTCTAATGCGTGAAACGGATCCAAAACAATATAAGACTTAGTTCCACCGCTCTTCATTTAAATTTAATTTATTTACTATCTCTAAGACTAGAACCAATCTTAAAAAACGGAGTAAAGATTTAGATTCTGCGCCCCAAGTTACCTTTAAAACAACTTTTGGTTGCTCAGGTCCAAAAGCGTGTATACTTGTGTAATATGAAGAAAAACTGATAAAATGTTGCTCATGTGTATTAATTTGGTATGAACAACATAACATTCCTGATATTTATTATTATTAAAATAAAGGAAAATAACTACTCAAAAGAAGTTGCTGAAAATATTTATTATTAATGTATAACCAAATTAAAGGTACAACTGTTGTACATACAACAAGTTTCTGCATGTTCTAGCAATAAGTTTGTCATATTGTCCATTAAGAATAAACAAGTTCATCAAAACTTTATTTGAATAGTGATTTTCCTCCATTTTAACTATTTTATTGACAATTAACAATTTAAAACATTATTTTTATTTAATTAATAAATTTCTAACCTTATTAGTAAATAATATACTTTTAATAAAGGTACCGGGCGTTCAATCAAACCGTTTATACACATACCTACATAGCGACATATTTACTTTTTGTTTCGGTACTTTTATGTACAAACACCGAAAAAAATATATTGTTCTATATATTTTCTTGTCATATGAATACATACAGTTTTTGAAACTTATTCGTAGATTCCACTTGTATTGTTTATTAATTTAAAACTAATATTTAAAAAATTTTAATATTAAATAATAGGAATTGTAAAATATCTTTGTTATTATTAATAGGTACAGGGAATAGTTATATCAATGAAAAGGTATTATAATTTCATTTTAAACTATATAAAAATATACAGGGCGTTCTTTTGAAAATAAAAAGTTATTGCTGTTTTAAGTTAGCTGCATACACATTATTTTTTTATCAAGTATTCTTTTAGAAATATTACAATAAAGAAAATGGAATCTTTAAAACAATGCTTCAGGATTCCAATAAATCTAACCGAATATCAGTAAACCTAATATTAAAAAAGTTATAAGCTTTTTTGTTGAGGGTGAATCTGACCGAATTTTACAAAAAAATTAATAACTCAAAAACTATTAAGTTTAGGTATAGGACATGGTATAGCCATTTTATAAGGAATGATAGTAAGAATAAAAAAATGAAAACAAAAATATGATGATCCATTTAAAATAACAAAGTTTATATCGCCGGAAGAGGATTTTTTTTCAAAATAATTTAGAAAAATAGTTTAAATGATATTATAATTGCTACAAAAATTTCAATTCGATATCTTTTGCCGTTCTCCATAAACCTACCATCGACCGTGATTACACCCTGTATAAATATAATACATAATACATACATAACGTAAACAACATATTTCAATACTTGTTTATGTTATATATTAATATACATAACTATCGATAGTTTATTACCTCCAATCGATAGATCGATAGCGCTTCGATAGTCATCAACAATCGATATATCGATAATAACTATCGATAGTTTATCACCTCTAGTTTAAAGTGCTTAAGTGCTTTTTGGTTTAGCTCTGGCGTACCTAAAGTTGACTGAATTTCGTTATTATTTAGTTAAATTTTTATTTGTTGCAATTGCAATTGGTCAAGCGATTAATTAAATGTACTTATTAGCCTCTGTAGGAGTTCCTTAGTGCCTTAGTTATTCGTTCCGCTTTTGTTTCCCACGATGATCTTCAGGTGGTAATAGCCAGGTACGGAACACTTATCCACTTATCTGTATCCGTAATATTTCGCACTATATTACTGCACTTTTGGTTTGAACTGTGAGTCTTTGGTTATTTTTTATTTGAGTGGTTAT